ATTTCGTAAAGAAACACAGAGCGCGTACACCATGCTGTTCACCTGAATTTGCCTCTGCATGCATGCAGAGATGCGTCTGCCACGAAAATACCCGAATGCGCGCCGCCGTTGTCATGGCAACAAGCCCGCTGTGTGATAGCAGCGTTAACGCAGCCTGCTCGGATTACACAGATCCATTCCGGAGATGGCGAAATAAGCTGTCGGATGAACGTCAGATTGCGCATGCGCCCGTGTTGTGACGTTATGCCCTGCGTAGGATCGTCTGCATGCGATCAGACGTGGGAGTCCGAACCAGTGTAATTGGTGGGTATCTTCGTCCTCTGCGTCTTTGCTCATATAGACCAGGGGCAAATATTTTGAACGTTTGCATTTTAGTTGAAATATTTTCAGTTATACATCTGTATTGTGATCCGTTGGCACACAAACTTGACAATGACACAACTTGAAACTCGACTTGAAACTTGACTTGACAGAACTTGGCAGCGTTTGGTGCGTCGATGAAATGCCAATGCCTGGACTAGGACATCTGTCTTAGTAGAAACGATGCAAGCTGTTCTCAGTTGATTTTGACCCAGGCGCGATCTGGATATTGACATGTTTAGGTAAATATAAACCTTGAAAAATATGCTGCCATGTCGCCGCATAGTACATATGTCGGCACACAGCATCCTTCAAACCGGAAAACATAGAACAGGTATTACATGGATAAACCGGAGACGACCATTCAATTCCTATGCACCGAGACAAAAACATAGCCATTAGACAGACTCATAGGCTCGCTCAAAGACTTCATGACATCAAGACATGATTATTCGACACGTCCGGATCGAATGGCGTTTAAGTAATCCACTTGGGCCGATTTCAACGCTGATGGCGTCAAATGAAACTTTGACCGCGTGGCAGCATTTGTCCGAACTCTGTCCTTCGAGGCTGCCTTACTAAATGCGACAAAGCTGCACCAAGAGGTGGCAGATCTTGTTTTGACCGACCTTCATCGACCTTCAGCATTGCAGGAGTGTCTGATTGAGCATTGTTGTCAAGGCGGTATTCATTATATTGACAACATTCGTCGTGTCAAGCTGTGTTCATGGTCACGAGTAAAGCACACGTTCAGACGTTGAGTTTTGCCAATGCGGCCAACGATTTATTGATGTCGCCTAAACGGTAGCCGAATTTTGTTTGTCATGAATTAGAGCCCTTTCGGCCGGCACTACCCATTTCAGTGTTTTGGGATTCAGGACAGGGGTAAGTGGCAGGTTCATCCAGTGCTAACGTCCGGGACAGCTATTCGTCATCGTCGTGATGAACAATATCAGAGTAAGGTCAAAAGTCATCAGCACTGACCTTAGACTGTGCACGCTATCCTTCTCTGTGTGTGAGAGTAACGTATCACCAGAAGGATTTCATTTGTCTGCTTCCACGGAAAACTTGCAGAACACGGGCCAAGTTACCGATTTAAGCTCACCCAGCGGGTTTTTAAGCTTGCCGGTAGGCATGTCGAGCACCAAGGAAGCCTTTGCGGAAGCCATGATGGGCGGAAAAGGCTGCATTCCGTTAGTTAGCACCAGAGTCGAGCGTGATACCACGCCAGCCACGCGATGCCAGAGATCACAGCGCTGCCTGGTTGGGCACCGTGCCCTACAATAGCCACCGAGCATGCAGCGACAGCGGTGCTCGGTCCGTAATGATTCCAATCAGATCATGTTGGTGGTCAGGGCTTTCACCACAAACGAGTGGGTAACCTAACACTGCCTATCTATGACATACTGACATCCTGTGTTACCGCCTACCCATCACATCCTGGCACCCTGTATTACTGGCTACCCATCACATCCTGGCATCCTGCATTACTGCCTACCCATCACATTCTCACATCCCGTATCATCGCCTTCCCATCACATTCTTAGATTCTGCATTAACACGCGATCGGGTGGGGGGGCCAGTTGACTGCCCCCGAGATTTTTCCGGAATAAATTCCGAACGGCGCGGCGCAGCCGCGCCAAATTTTGCATAGCTGTAGACAATTGAATGGCGGATCGTTTGAAATACAAATTTAGACGCATCATATTAGGTCACTGACTTATGACAGGTCAAAGTCAGGCCATGGTTTCAGCGAAGTCAATTTCTAGGGATCCGTTCAATTTGATGCGACAACGGAATGTTCAACGAAGCCATACATCCCTGAGATGCTTTCTTTGCCAACACAAATATTAAATGAGCAAATTACGTTAACCTAAGGTCAGATATAAATGTCAGACCAAGGTCAAAACCAGCCTGCTTTTTTACTCAAAGGCATGATGTACGGGATAATTTCTGGTGCTCATTTCGAATTTATTGATAACAGGAATCACATTATACATATTTCATGGACTTCTTAGAGGTCAGAATAGGTCATTGACCTAAAATGGCCCAGGCCAGCATGTTTTTTTAGGAACATACTCTCTGGCGTAATCTTTGTCGCTCACTCAAATGCAAAACCAAGAGCAGTCTCGTAGGATTTTGGTCACCATGACGTTCAAAAGGTCAAACAAGGTCACTTACCGGAACTGAACGTGTGACCTTTTGCTTAGAAACAATTATCTAAGTTATGGGGGCACTTTGGAGACCAACCCTGAATTTTGCCTTGTTTGACCTTGTTTGGCCCGAATGTCATGATCTAAGAACCTAAAACTTTGACCTAAGTGAGTTCACGTACAGGTCAGCACACCTTGTAAAATTTGTGTCTTTAGCCGTCTTAGTTTCCGAGGTCTCAGGGGGTTCAAATTGACCCTCTCCCACCCGAGCGATGGGTATCTAGCCGGCCACCCGGGCGCGTTTTTTAACACCCACCCACATGACCTAAAAGTCATTATAACCTTTGGGTTAAAAAAGGTCAAACAAGGTCAAATTGCAGGTTGGTCTCCAAAGCGCTCCCAGAACCCAGATTACCGCTTCTAAACAAAAGGTCACATGCTCATCTGAAGTCAGTGACCTTGTTTGCCCGTTGGAAGGTTATGGTGACCAAAATAATGCAAGACTGCCTTGAGTTTTTTATTTGAATAAGCGGCCAGGATTACTATTACTTTACTATTACTACGCTAGTCAGTATGCTCCTAAAAACAAAATGTTGACTTGGGTCATTTTAGGTCAGTGACTTTTCTGACCCTCTAAAAAGTCCAGGAAGGATGTATAATGCGGCTCCTGCTATCAATCAATTCGAAATAAGCATCAAAAACTATCCCGTACTGCAAGCCTTAGGGTTATAAAACAGATTGGTTTTGACTCTGGTGTGACCTTCATACCTGAACTTAGGTCAACAAAATTTGCTCATTTAATTGTTGCGTTGCCTAAGAAAGCATCTCAGAGATATATGGCTTTGTCTAACACTCCGTTGTTGCATTAGATTGAACGATTCCCTCGAAACTCTCGTCGCTGAAACCATCGTTTGACTTTGACCTGCCATAGGTCAACGACCTTACAAGGTACATCTAAATTGTTGACACCAAACGCTCCGCCATTCAATGGTCTACAGCTCCGCAAAATTTGGTGCGGCTGCGCCGCGCCGATCGGAAACTATTCTGGTAAAAAAACCTTCGGGGGTTCAAGTTGACCTCCACCCAAGCGCGTGTTAATTAAAGGCACCGATCGCCACAAGTAAGTTTTTGGAAATGCACATATTCACGTTCACAATATGCCGCTAAAACTCCCCCTGCACCAATGCCAAGAAACTGCTCCTTACCAAACTCTTGCTTACCAAAAAAAGACTGTAAGGTTTGATTCCCCGCAAAAGCTTCCCAGCACTGATTCTTTGGCTAACGAAAATCAAGCCCCGGACAAAAAAGTCACGCACACCAATCAGCTCAGCAGTGCAGTATAGCAACATAACAGCAAGCAGTCATCAGGAACGACAGGCAAGAAGCCCTCGAAGTTGCAGTAGCCAAAATACAAACTCCCGCGTTTACCTGTTGGTTCAGACGCGGGCGCCTCTTCTTGCAGCGCCTAGCGTCTGTTCTCTCCACCCCCCTCACCTGGTAATAGCGACGCACACGGTCACGCCCTTGGTGTCTGCGCTGGTGATGGTGATCTGCAGATGGACGCGCCATAGTATGACATTCGGGACAACGTTGGTTGCAGCGCCGTACTAATTTGGAGTTCATTTTCGAACTGGCAGGCTGTGATTTGAATAGCGGGATACATGCTTTGCCGCCGTGACTCTAGTCTACTTCAGCGCGGCAAGCTTCAGTACCCCCGGCGCCGTGTTCTTTACATCACGATCTGTCCCATCCTGTCAAATGTCCGCTGCCTGATGTGGTGCTCTGGCTGGCTCGCCCTCTGCTTCCTGTCCTACTAGACGATCGGACCGACCGGCCATTGCACCAGGCCGATCCATGTCCACTTCAGGTGAAGCTGCAGTTTGTCAACGATGTGGGCGATAGGTGTACCTGCAGTCTGTTAACGACGCGGACGATAGGTGTACCTGCAGTCTGTTAACGACGCGGACGATAGGTGTACCTGCAGTCTGTTGACGACGCGGGCGATAGGTGAAGCTGCAGTTTGTTAACGACGCTAGCGATGCTGCCTCGCTGAACGCCCAATAAGTACCATATTCCGTTGCCACTGCCCAGCTGTATCGTGAGTCACCAGCCCGCCGATGGATGGCGGCCGAATGACCACTGCCGCTGAGCGCCAGGTCAGAACACGCACGACTTCCCGGCAGGACATGTGGGCTTTGGCAGGAGATGCGGGCTTGGACGAGATATGCGGGCTTGAGCGGGACACGCGGGCTTGGGCAGGACATGCGGGCTTGGGCAGGAAATGCGGGCTTGGGCAGGACACGCGGGCTTGGACAGGAGATGCGGGCTTGGGTAGGACATGCGGGCTTGGGCAGGACATGTGGGCTTGGACATGACCATGTATATCTGAACTAGTGTCTCTGAATGTCTGCTGGCCCGTTTGCATCGTGCCACCACTCTGCTCTGAACCGTGACGAAACTGAAAACATGATTTTTCCCATTCCATCGTATATTTTTGCTTTGCCAACGGGCTTTCGTCGGGTAATTTAATTGTGGAGTGAAAAACCAACACGTCTGAAATTGTTAAGTCAGCGCCTATTAAACGTAACAGACGGTGGATATTGGACAGCTTGAGCGCTGTCAGCTATATTGTGAACGACAAATACAATTCTGAGTGCAAAAAATGACACGTTTGTAGTCCTTTGGACGATATCGGAAGAACAAGTGCAATATACATGCATGACCCTAATCTAACATGAAGCCGACTCAGACACAGCACACTAATAAACTCGGCACTGTCTTAGTAGTTTTGCTACCTCAAAAGGTGAGGAAGCTCCTTTGATTCCATGGCAGACTGGAGGAGTTAAACTTATTTACGTTCCGCGCAGGCTAAGCCCGACATTTCGAACATCTCCCCTCCAGTTCATACGTCACAATTATGCGCTGCTCCCCATAGCATGCTCGTTTTCGCGAATGGTCTACACGCTAGCCAGGCACGCGAGTGGACAGGAACACCATTCCAGGTGGACTCGATCTTTGCTCTGTTGACACCGGCATGCGAAGACGACACGACGCTGACTCAGCCTGACTCGAGTCGCCCGTGGCTCGCGCGTGCCGACCGCTGCTAGCTGGCCTCACTGGAGTCGTCTATGTACCGCAGCTGCTCCCTCAGCGCGGTCGTCGGGTCCACAAGCGTCTCCTCGTTGACGGCGTCCAACGGCGGCGCCTTGTACTCCACCAGCCGCGTCTGCGCGTCGGAAGAGCGGCCGCGCGGCGCGCCGTTCTGCTGCGGCAGTTGGTCGGGTCGCCGCCAGGTGTCAGCACCGGCGCGGCCGCCGGGCGGCGTCGGTGTCTCGACGGGACTGGCGCGTGGTGAGCGCGCCACGCGCGGCGACATCTCCATCTCGATGATGTGAGGCCGACCGCCCGAGTGTGGGAACACCTGAGGCAGGGGTAACGGCGTTAGGCCAGAGCAGGTCAAAGGGCGGTCGGTTCCGGCAGGTCGAATCGACCGGCAGGTCGAGTCGACCGGCATCTCCGCCGCATCGGTCCTTCACACTCGTGCCGACGCCGTAGCCCGGAGCGCTTGTGCATCGCTCGCCAGTAGTCCCACCGATTTCCAGCGCTGTTGTTGAAGTGTGTGAACATCGGAGACCTGAATGTGATTAGTGAACCTATTTTTATTTCTGTTGCCTGTTGGTCCAAAGCACGGTTGTTTTCGGCCCAAACCGCGAGTTGGCCTAAGAGCGCACATAAGATAAATGGAGATGACCGACGTGCGTAGCAGTTTAGACAATCTAAGCCACCAAGAAAAATAGACGCTATTATTCAGCAAACAATCGCTTATGTCTAAGCTGTTTTTACGGAGTCCACTCCATTTCGGACGGAGCTTTACTTGGCCAGTCGTCTGGAAGGGACGACATGGTGAAAAATTACTTTCTACGAGCGCTTCATTTGGATCTAGTTGTTCATTGGCAAAGCACTTACGTGTGGTTGTTACCTATGACGCCACAAGTGGTTACGTCACACACAGACGACTGTACTGCAAGGCCTACGAACTGTTATGACGCACTCTCCTTTGACGCGGTAGGTCGCACCTTGTGGACACCGTTTGGCAATAAGGAACGGGCTGATGTTCATGTGTTGGGTCCCTAGGGAAGCTGTTTACAGCTAAAACATCAAGACTTCACTCTGTGCAAACTCATGTTTTAAACGAGAAGACGAACCTGTGATTTAATTGACCTGCGTCATGTCTTTTGACCTTATTTATTATTCCTTCAGGGCTATATCCGTGCATATTTAGCTGAACTTGTTCAGCTAAATTCTGAGACAACAATCTGTGGAATCTGACACACCGTATTCGATTTAATCGGATGTTGCGAGCTATCAGTCATTTCCCCAAAACACGTGCACAAGTCACCAAACTTTTTGAACTCAATTCAAAAGCTATCAATTACGGCTGGTGATGGATACTAGGCTAGCAACGTGTAACAAATTGCAATCTACGGTATTCAAAATTTGTTCGTCTGGGACGCTGCCCAAAATTTACAACTGCACCACCCGCTTGAAAACCAAACCGAGTCTCATTGATTTATAGCTAACAAAATGTTTGGTTAACGACCAATATCACTTAAACAGACCTGTAGGCACCTGTTCCACCTCTTGTGATTATTTTCCGGTTTGCACAATGAGCGCACAGAAATCATCATGCAATTTCTGAATGTCGCGTGCGCAGGCCGCCCTGATTGGAGAGACTTCAGCGCAGATCCCCGGACGGCCAGCTGGGTGCTGCTCTCACCTGGACGCTGGCCGAGCTGCTGGTGGGGGACGCGCCCCGCACACTGGTGTATCCCATCACGTCGTTCTCCCACTCAGGCCTCTCATCCAGGTCTAGGTCAATGCCCAGCACGGCCTGGAAACTGCAACACAAATGGCGGCTTCAGAACGGCTTCAATGCCCGGCTGACGACGGAAACGAGCCGCAACCGCGCACCATCATCGGGCTGTTTCGACATCACCAACATTTGACTTCAGCTTTATGGCGTTGTGTGGGAATATACGATCTAAAGTTTCCAGGCGCCTTCCCCACCCTCTCCATTCCTTCAAAAGGTCCGCCCCTAGTGAGTGTATCATTTACGTAAAGTTGTCCGCAACACACGACAGTGATTCCAAGACGACTGGATCAGAGAGATATTTTGGGCCGTTGAATGACACCCTTTTCTTCTCTGCACCATCTCTAATCACAAACATCCGTGAACAGTGAGAGGGTAGACAAAAGCGATGCGTCCGGACACTTGGTCGAGTGGAGAAGAGTCAAGTGAAGAAGTCGATCGAAAAAAGTCGAGCGTAAAAAGTTGACAGGAAAAAAGGTGACAGGGGTAAAATTCGAATTGAAAAAATCGATCTGAAAAAACTCTTAAACTAATCGTTGCTAGGGATTGTATTCTGCTGGAATCAGGGAAAAAGGCAAAAGACGAAAAGTCTGAATGGACAAAAACCGGCGACAACTTGCCGAAGTTTACGAGGTACTAATGCTTGTTTACGATGGCGCACTCGTTCTCATAAGCACAGCTTGGAACGCCGAGTACTAACAATGTAGCGCATGTTTGCTCTATAACATCATTTACCCGTACCTCCTAGCACATTGAAAGTCGATAACTTGGCCCAGGAACTCTGTACTCATAACTCCGAACACAGCGGAGTGGTTTTCTTTTCATTTGGAGGGGAAGGAGAGGAATGGAGCCCAACCTCAACTTTCGGGAGAAAGTGAGTCGAATGTGAGTCGAAATTTTTCGTTGCGACCCTCCCCCCACCCCACCCCTCCACCTAAGTGCGTGCCATTCTAGAGTTGAACGAGAGCGTTCGTGTATAGTGGGCTGTCATGGAATAGTTTTGCTAAGCAAATGAGCACTGATCATGAACAACAATGATCAATTTTCATAAAAATTGCATAAATTTCATTTTGTATGAGTCGTAGCATGTTTAGAATAGATATTTCGAATGAAAGTCTCTGCAGTTCCGAACGTTGTCCGGGAGCCGTAGGCGGAAAGTCATTGAGAACTGATTCTCATTAATTTGTCCTATATTTATGGGATGAAACACTTGAACCGATAAACGCAGCGGCACGTTCACCCGACCAAAAAGTCATCTGGGCTATCTGCCTGACTCTCTAAGCTCTCCATAGAATCTTATCTGTCCAAAATAGTGGCATTCGTCACTCAAAAGGAATTCGGTATAGATACATGTTCTGAGTGACTGACCTTGTTGCCGGCACAACCCCTTATCTCGTCATTTTTGTAAAAAAACACACTGTCGTGTCTTAATCGTATTAAAATATATAAAAAGCACCCAGCTTCAAAAGACCCTCACAGTTTTCGAAGCGAAGGTGTTCAACATCACACAGCAAACGGCCATCATCACATCACATCACACAGCAAACGGCCATCATCACATCACATCACACAGCAAACGGCCACCGCGGTGGTAGGCAGCCATGCAAGGCAACCATCCCCTGGTGTCGGGCACAAGCGCAGCCTTGGTTCCGGCCCTCGTCGAAAGCGGCGCGGCCCTCAGCCTGGTCAGGCAGCCCACCCCACGAGCGCAGACCAGGCGGTCAGTGGGAGCAGGCATGTCGTGACCTCAGACGCGCGTCATCAAACACGCATCGAAGCCATCCCTGCTGTCTCGCGTTGCGATCCGTGTAAACAAATCCTTACTTGTGGTCCAATCTTTACGGAACCTTTTCAGCTATTGCGAGGTCGGTTGGGGTTTAATTCCAAATTCAATGTTATTAGGCCCAACTGTAGCGGCTGGCGTCCAATATGAAGCGTCAGACAGATAGACTCCGACCACCCCAGCTCTCGTAGCCCTGATCGCTGCGTCGGCTCAGGTCTAACATGATCAGATTCGTCAGGCGAATTCACGCGCTTTGGCGGCCGAACTTGGATCTCCACGGTCACTGCTGCGCGTGACCGTTCCTCGAAGGCTGCTGTGCCGAATTGATCCTGATGTCCTACCGCCTCTAGCCTCCATCCGTTCTCCGGCCACCACGGCCCTGGACCATGCCGTGACCTGGTCTGGCCCAGCAGACCGTTGGGCCAGACCCACACCAAGCGCATCACGCTCGCTGCCAGCCTGACATTGACACCTGCCAAGCGAACGCGTGTCACAACATGCAAGCCGCTCCAGCACGAGTTTCGATTTACTTACATAAGTCCGCCAAATAGCAGCTATTTTGTAAAGGAAATCGACCCGTCCAACCGACGCGTCCAATCGAGAAATGGACGTGCCAGAAGCTGACACGATAGAACCCACGATGAGTCATGCGGCTTCTTTTTGCAGTAAGCTACGCCGCCCGATGCTACCGTCCGGTATGCATACCTGACGGGTCACACCGCGCCTCGTTCACCATACCGCTGCTTGTTCGCACGAGCACTCTTCACCTGGTGCCTCGGGGCTGCTGAAAGGCCGCTAAAAGCAATCAGAGCTGCTCGTGCACATCGCTGTTGGAACACTGGTTTATCGTGCATGTCGCTATTCAAATACCGGTTTATGCGCGTCGCGTCGCTGCTGGCCGAGGCAAGAAGTTACGTGGATATCTGAGAAAGGGGAGTAAAATGGGCGACATCTAATAGCGCTGCACATTCCATCACCGGCAGCGTTTTTCACTCACTGAATCCGTCGCTCCCGGTCAGCACCATAACAGGCGGCCGCGGCGCACAAGCGCAGTGACATGTCCGAGCGCCGTCTTTCCACCCTTGATCTTGCTCAGCGATTGCCGGTTCTACTCTACACTTCAGATGAGCCCGATGCCGACAGTACCGCAGAGAATACGAACATCGCAGATTTGGGGGAGATCAGACCTCGCGTTACCCCCGACAGGCTCCCGGGGACTGTGGACTGGACAGCGTTGCGTCACGGTACCAGCTACACTTTCAGGTCTTTGGAATCCATGGACAGAATGACAGAACTCCGAACAATTCATTCGCACACCTTAAACCAAACGACCTCCCAGGAAAACCAGCTGCTCGTCGCGACGCTTACGACATCAATTGTGTCTCTCTTTTGGGTAACGGTGGCTGTGGGAAAGTGGAGAGTGCTGCCACCCGGTACTTTCTGGCTACATGTATCGCCAGATGCATGTAGCCAGGATGACCAATCGTACATGGCCATCACAACCTGATCTGAGCCCTGGTTAGCATCTGCTTAGCATCGCATGGATCTCGACCCTGCTCTATAAGGAGAGGGTCGTTGTGCAGTAGTGGTGGTGATGAAACGCGTAGTTGTGTAGTAGTGGTAAGGATTTGATTTTAAGGCGCGTTAACTGCAGAGGGCATTTCCACCACGCGACATAATGGTCACAGAAGCGATATAGGTGCGTTGAACAGATCAGAATTGGTTGTGCTGTTGACAGGTTTTGCACACTGCTGAAAAACAGGAGAAGATACCCGATGCATTGGCCGTCTATGTGCAAAAATGTTGGTAGCAAAAGTTACTGTCTGGCGACTATTTAACATAATGCGGTAAGCTTAATCAATAACTGCAAACAAATCGGGTTAGATTTACCTCGTGTTGGGAAACGTAAGGCTGCAGATTGGTAAGTTGTTCTCCCTGACGTCTTAAACCACATCATGCCAGCTTTACGAGGCTAAAGACAACTTTTTTTGCAAAAGACAAAGCATTTTGACCTTTAACAAACAAAACGTTTTAATCGCATTAGGAGTGCTTAAAGAGAATGCTCCACATTAAAGTCGGGCTTTGAAATGGGAAAGCCATTTTTAACAAGAATTCAGTGCAGTTCACAGCCATATCCTTTCTAAGACATAAAGCAATCTTGCTCCTGAGTCTGATACCCGAGACTTATGCAGACAGACTCAACAAGCTTATGTCATTGCGTACCTACGCACGTAATGATGCTTTCCTACATGCTATTTACGCGATGATACAATACGTACTTCTTAAAAACACGATAAAACGGATAGTCGTTGCTTCCTTCGCATCCATTAATTGACTTGTTTAGCTACCGGCTACTTCCAATCTGAATAAGCTGGAATACCAGCCAACAGGACCCATCTGCCAGATCCAACAGTTTATGGTATGACTGTATCTACTAATTTGCACTTTCATCGGCACGTTAATGACACCGTCTCCAAAGTCAGTAGAGCACCTGGACCTCTCTACCCACCATCGCGACTTCTGTCTCGGCATATTCTCAACGACATATATGTGACTTACATTCTTCCTTTGTTTGATTATTGTGACGTAGTATACGACGCACCCTTGACAGCCAGGAATTCCCTTAGACTTGACAGATTACTGTACAGAGCAGCAAGCCCAATCACCGGTGCACTTTACAGAACACACACTCGCGCACTGTTGGACGATTTGGGATGGAACACTCTCAAATCACGAAGGAGCATGCATAAGCTGACGCTGTTCCACACCTCCATCCACAACAAACATCTATTGCCAACAAACGTCACTGTACTTCCACCTGGCTCACGAGCACTTGCAACAGGACACCCACTACGCAATGCAATGATACTCACATTACTACCGAACATAACCACAACATGCCAAAAATCCTACGTTCCATCAACCACGAGAAGATGGAAGCAGCTCCCGCCTGAGGTGTCATATCTCCAGTCTTCTTGTTCCTTCAAACGGGAAATGTGCCAGCGTTGCGCTGTGGCCACGACTGCGGTCTATCACAGCTTTGGATCCAGGTATGGTGACATCCTTAATACTAGGCCGGGATCGTGAATCTCAGGCGTTAATGCCCACATGTTCGAAACTCAAAATCCAACTACACCTAGTCCCTCTTGCCTGTGTGGCTATGCATATGAAGACCCTAAACACATTGTATTGAAATGTCCTCGATATCATGAAATCTGAATGTCATTGCTACATAGAGCAGATTG